GGGGGGGGTCCAAGCAGGAGCAGGCGGCACGCGCCTCCTAGCAGGCACCCGCTAATGTGCGAGAGCCAGGACCACGATGACCAGACCGAACCAGATCTCTGACTCCTGACTCCTCTGTTGGGCGCACACTGCTGCCGTCTCGGCGAAAAAAGAGAGAATAACAACAATTTAACCACCGGCTCCCGTCTGGGATCGAACCAGCGATGAGTGCGAGCGTGTCTGTGTCAGTGCCCCTTTGCTGTACCGACGTGGGCGATGCTGCTGTGACGCGCCCTACCTCACCCCCTCCCCGCCCCACCTTGGCAGCAGCTCGCCGAGGGGGTGCGTCAATGGTACCCCGCCCTCTTTCCGGCGCCCACCGCCCCCTCCCCCTCACCTCTCTCGCCGTCTTCTTACTCTTTTCATAATCTTACCCCCGTCCGACAAACCAGCCCACTCCCTCGCCTTTCTTCACCCGCTGCCGCTCTCGTTTCGTAAACAAATCTCGAAATCGCGTTAGTCTGACATTAAGGCTGGCGGTTATGAGGGAAGCGGGGTGCTTTTACAGAAGCGGACGGGACGGCCGCCGCGGGCGCCAGGACGCCGGCCATCGACTCGCGCTCGCGGACGTTTATCGATCGGGTGTTTTGCTCTCCAACTGTATTTATGTGCGGACGCCTCTTGCTTTCGAAGGTGCTGGACTTGTCCCGTTGGGTGAATCGGATCGGAATGTCGCCGCGGGTGCGACAGGTGTGGTGGCGTGCCGTGGCGGGGGGCGCTGCTGATAACGCGGGGGATGCGCCCGAGGAGGGGGCGGGGCGGGGCGCGGGGGTGCGCCGCGCGCAGCCTCCTCGGCGCTGGTGGCGAGGCGGGGCGGGGCGGGGCGGGGCGCGCAGGGGCCCGGCCTGGCGGCCGACAGTCTCTCCCCACGTGTGGACGCCGCCGGCACGGACAGAGTCCCCCCCGCCGCCCTGTGCCTTGCGCCTTGTCCGCCGCCCGTGCCGCGACGACGCCGCCCTGCTGACGACGACGACGACGCCCCCTTTCTATCTCGCTCTCCGCGCCTCTCTCGCGGCGACGCCCACCTCAGCCCGGCCGTTTTGCCGCCGCGGCGCGCGAACTGTCAAGCAACAAGTGCGGCGGCGGCCGCGGCGGCCGCGCGCTGACGTCGTGGTGCAGGTCCAGGATTACCGGCAGACACCTGTAACAACAACAACAAGAAGGACCGACCCGCCGCTGCCACCGCACCACCGCCTGTCGGTGTCGGTGGGCTCCGGCGTTGTAGTTCAGTGTTGAGATCAGCTGACCCGTAGCTCGGAGCTGTCCAGGTACGTCCTGTCCCGAGTCACGCGGGGGCGGCCCCCGCCGGACCTGCCCGCCCGGTGCCCGCGGGTCCTCGCCAAGGCCCTCGCCCGGGTGGCGCGGATCACTGAGGTGAGGAATGACTTTTGGCAGAGGGGTCTTGGCGTGCGGCGACGGCGGCGGGCTCCTCGGGCGACGAGACTTATCAATTACCCGCCCGTTTTCGCTAATTTCAGCAGAGTGAGGAGGGCGCGGTGCGTCGTGCTGCGCCATTTCAGTTATTTACAGTCGAGACTCGCGTTTATCACTTAATTTTAATTCAACTACGCCGATAGTGGTGGAGAGCTGTACTTATGTGGAGGAATCGGCTATAAATTTACACTGGCGAAAGAGAGCTCCGTTGCACACCTTATCACGGTCTTGTATAATAATGAGAAATCACGCGTCACATTTGGTGGCCGCTCGCGCGATGAGCCCCGCCGGTCGTGTTTACAAACACACGTGGCGTCGTATTGCCAAGACCTCGATGCCGCATCACGACTCTTTCTGTTTCACCTGCTCTTGCGCCGCTCCGCACCGCGCTCGGCGACATATCCTCATACTTGTACGGGTGCTTAGAACTCGGTTGGGGGCGACATTGCGAGGGGAGAGTGTGTGTTTTGGGGAAGGGGGGGGGGTAGTGCATTCCGACCGTGAGCTGCAGCAACACGAGCGCTGCTCGTCCCCTTGCATTATAAATGCGCGCACACTGTCGTGCGAATAGCGACGCGCAGTCCCCTGCGAATAACGTCCTGCGAATAACGATGCGCCAGCCGCGCACCAAGGCGGACCAATTTCCCGCCAAATCAGACATGTAATGACCCCGCCAGCTGTTTTCCTCAGAGACAATCGTCGTTCCCCCCTTCTTCTTCTTCGTCTTCTTCTCGCCTGTCGCCGGCTACTCGTGCGCGGGGAGAGAGAGAGAGATGGAGAGAGGACGAGAGGGGTGGAGAGGGCGAGTGAAAGGGAGCGAGAGGATAGGGGGGGGGGAGCCGTTGGGGCGGAAGTGAGGAGGAGGTCCCCATCAGGGAGTTGGCAAGCAGATCTGCTTCGGGAATTTCGAATCGCCGCCCAACCGACCGTCGCGCGGCAATTTCTCATGAGTGGATTTATTTAAGAAGGACAGCTCGTGCCTACGACCTC